GCCCGCCGGCTGGCCGAGGAAAGCCCCCCCTCACGACCGCGCCACGCCACTCCACGCGCGCAATACGGGGAAATACTACTGATGAGTAAGTTAAATACACACACACACACCTCCACCTCCTCCTTACACCACCGCCACGGGACCCCGCCCCGGCTCTCCCGCGCCGCGTCACGTTTTTGGCAGCGATTTAAAAACCGGGCCGCGAGAGCGGGAGGGAGAGGGAAGGAGAGGGAAAACCACAGCAGGAACAAGAAGAATGAAGGCGGTCACTGTGGTGAGCCGGGACGCGTCACGTCGCGTGACGCGTGACATTGCGGTCATCTGCATGCGCTCCACATACTCCCCCCCCCCCCCCAAAGCTGCGTGTCTCCGTACGGGGGCTCTCCTTCGTTAGCAGGAGGGCTACAGTGACAGTTACTAGTAACGCGGAACACACGTCACACGAACGCCGCCGCGTCACGCCCAAGAAGCAAAGTCGCAGACTCGGAAGAAACTAAAATAAAAAGGATGAATAAAAAGGGACACGAGCGGTCGCGAAAGAAATCACTTCCAGGGACCGCGATGAGGTACGACGGGTCCCGGCGCGGCGAATGCCTGCCGGAGCCCGACACACTACACCGCGGGCCGGAAACACGGACGTCTCATCCGGTCGGTCCCGCCCTGCTGGCCCGCGGCCCGGCACGACACGCCGCGCTAAAGCGTCTCAGATCGGATCGCACACACTCATTCGTCCTGGGGCTGCCCCCCTCCCGAGACGACCGACCGAATCCTTTCCTTCCTTCCTTCCTTCCTTCCTTTCGGCGAAGTAGAAGCGCGGGCGGGCGCGGCCCCGGATGCAATATGCGTCAGACGAGTACACTGCCCGCCCGCGGGCCGCCACGACGTCACCGGGACGGCCGGCCTGTGCGCGCGCGCGGGTGCAAGTGCAACGGCAGCGCGGGGCACGGGCACGAGTGCGCGCGGGCGTAAAGCACGGCAACCATCAGAGGACGGCGACGAGCACGCATCGCAATGCTGTCGGAATGGAAGGCGAGCAAGCGTTTTTATTATACTTGAAAACCACAGAGTCGAGCCGCGAGGGTGAGCAGTGAGCAGCAGCAGCCCGTACCGACCACGCACTTGCACTTGACGTGGGCGAGCTGCTCATGCGAACAGACGCGCCGCGGCCGCCACCTCCACCAGCAGCAGCAGCGGCGGCGGCGGCGGCATACTCGCACATAACACTACGCGGCGCCCTCTGACTCACCTCCGTGCAGCGGCATATGCACTCCACTTACGTTGCCTCACCGCCGCTGCCGCCACGCGCGCGCCACGCCCCGCAGCGCCGCGCCACCCGCGCTCCTAAACTAGGTCAACGCTGCACCGCGCCCTGGCGGTCCTGCCCCGCCACGCCCCGCTACGCTACGCTACGCTACGCCACCGCGGCGGGCGCCAACAACACCACGACGGCGATGACGACGACGACGACGGCCGTCCATCAGGCCAAACGGCACCCCATACCGCCCCGCATATAGCCTCACTTGAGCAGCCATTCGGCATCGGCACTGGGTCACGTGGCGACTGTTAGGGGCCGCCACAAACTGGGTCAAACAAGTCGAGCGCGCATCCACCACCGACCGACCGACCGCCTGGATACAGTGCTACAGTGCGCGCGCGAGGGGTCGGGGGGCGCGCGGGGGGAAGTCCATAGACTCGCAGAGCAGCGTCGTCGTCTCGCTGTTGCCATGCTGTCACCGGCGCGGGCTGCTATGACGCGAGCTCGGCGAAGCAAGCAGCGCGCGCGGGCAATATCGAATGATGCGGTGCGATGCCGCGAGAGTCAATAAGGTATACGGCAGCGCGAGCAGGATCGAACACTGCAGGACATACCCCGCCCGGACCTGCTCCCCCGCTGATCGCATCGCGAGCACGAAATCGATTTCAGAGGTCCGGTGTAGTGTAGTGTAGGCCGGTAGAGGACAGCCAGCTGGTCCGCGAGGTGGGACCCCGCCCTGCCAAACGAGTGGGTCCGGTCCTAGGCGCTAGAGCGCTAGAGCCGGCCCCAGCCTTCTTACGCCATCATCATCATAGTGTACGACTCGCGAGACCAGACCAGACCGAGCCGAGACCACCCGGCCAGCCGATTACAAGGAAAAGAAAGGGAGAGCGAGCGAGAGAGAGGGGGGCGGCGCGGGGCCGCGGCAACAGCGAGTGATGGTCGTCATTTAGCGGAGCAGAACGGTATATTGCCGAGGCCGGGGCGGCGCTCCACGATCGAGCACAGGGCCGTGACGCCGCCGTGCAAGCAGAGCCGCGCCGCCTCCCCTCCTGCTGCACTAGATGCACCGCCGCCGCCGGGGCGGGGGCGGCGGCCTGGCCTGCAGGTTGCATAAGACACGAGCAGCGCCACTCTCCTGCCTGCCGGTACATATGAGCCTGCACTGCAGCGGCCTCCTCCTCCTCCTCCTCGTTATCAAAGCTGGACGTCGTCATGTCCAGCGCAGCCTCGCCGCGAGCAGCAGCTGAGCCGCCGCCGCCCATGCATACTGATGCGAAAACACATGTCGCAGCTGCATCCTTCTCTTAGTAGCGCCGCACGCTGCCCGGCCGCCGGTGCCCGCCGGCTGGCCGAGGAAAGCCAAGGTCAACAGTTTTTGGTCACTGACCTGTGCGGCCGCCGCCGCCGCCGCGCCAGCGGGCGGCCAGGCACTACACTCTTCTTCCCATGCTCGAGAGACTGGATTAGTCATCGCGAAGGGAGGGGGGAGGGCACGACTCTCTCCCTCTCTCCTCTCGAGAGGACGAGTTTTGTCAGTCATGGGAACCAACCTGAACAGCGCCCACAAGTCATACTAGCCGCCCCTTACTTGCATCCTTTGCTGACCGGTGCTGGTGCTGTGCTCTCGCCCTAGCTGGCCGCCGCCGTCTGAGAGGTCTACGCTACGCACAGCACTTCGGACCAATACTGAGCAATATACGCGCCGCAACGCTACTATATCAGGCTCGTCGTCACACCCGCGCGTGACGCGACGCCAATTTCCACCGAAAAAGACGGAGAACACGAAAGTACGTAACCAACATAATCATGGCTTCAAAGATTACAAGGCGCAGCGCGTGTCCCGAAAAGGTACAGTACAGTACCCCTAAGTAAAACCACGGCACGTGTCCACGTGCCGTGCACTTCAGGTGACGAGTCAGCTGAGAAGGGGAGAGAGGGGGGAGGGGCAACAAGTTCGTTGGCCGCCTCCCCTTCCCCAAATCTTTGAGAGCCTCCTCCTTCTTGGTCGGGGACCTCGCGGTCGCGGCGCCGAAGAAGGAGGGTATTTAAAAGCGCGGCCGATAACGATGTGATAGGATGTGCGCTTTATCAGCAAGTGCGGTGGGCGAGGACGGGCATAGGGGGGCGGCGGGGAACACGACACACAACACAACACGCGTCTATCCATCAAAGTGATCCCGCTCTCCCATCCCCCCGGCCACCCCCCGCCGCCGCCGCTTCGCAGAAGAAGAGCAACAGGGCAGGAAAAGACGCCGCAGCCGGCGACGGCGACGCGGCGACGACGCTTCGGGACACTTCTCCTCTTACAATATCACTCGCTACCACTGCCGCCGCCGCCGCCGCCCCCTCCAGCCGCACGACGACGACGTCACAAAAGCCCCAAACGGCAGCGTTTTGTCATCCGAGGCGCCGCCGCGACGGCGCGGGGCGGGGGAGTGGGGCGGTGCTATTTATACTCCGTGACCCTCAATACGGCACAGCGCGGGCCACCGCCACCCCCGCCCCAATAACACGCTCCTGGAGCAGCGCCACTTTAAAAGAGATATGGCGCATCCTAACCGCCGTCGTCGCGTCGTCGTCGTCAGACCAGCGGGCCAGCAATCCACGTGGTGGTGGTGGAGGTGACGAGACGTGTGACTAGAGCGACTCTCCCCGTCGCGTCGTCGTCGTCGTCGGTCGTGACGTGACGGCGGCCGTCAATGATGCAGTGCGCGTGTCTGTCACCACCGCCGCCGGCGCCGCGTTGCCGACCGCGCGACCAGCCCCCCTGCGCGTCGCCGGCGCCGACGACGATCGATGGTTCACCCCGAGAACTAGGCCATCGCCCGTGCTATACTACACTCTACTCCATCATGTGGAGGGACGGCGGCGGCGACGGAGGGACTGGACGGCCGACGGCACGGCGTCCATCAGCTGGGCCAGAACGAGGCGAGTCCGGCCGGCCCCCGCCCCCCAGCAGAGCAAGGCGCTCCGCTCCGCACCGGGCCGAGACGGGCGGGGCATCTTGATAAGAGCCGCCACATGATGGCCCATAACACGGTCACTGCCTCCGCCGCGCGCGCCGCTGCTGCTCCACCCAAACGACAAAAAAACACACACATACACTCACTGAACGTGGCATGGTGCCATTCGTTTCTGTTTCATTTGTTTTTAAATGTCTTTCTTTTTGCGATGTGCTCCGTACGCTCTGCCCTTCGCTCTTGCGCCCGCCGCCGACGCGCCGGCCCGTCCCGTCCCGTCCGTCCCGCCGCCCCGCGGATCGACATTA